GTTTCTTCGCGGGATCCGAGCCGAGGAGCGTCTAACCCGGGCGGGGAACCAACAATCGATATGCGCCGTCGACTTTTATTGTTGATAAACCCCGCCATCTTTCGCCGGCGCCCGTCATCTCCCTACGTTTCTCCACGGTTTTCCCCATTTTTACCCACTGTTTCCCCGATCCCCTCGCCGTTTCTCGCCGCCTCACCTGGTCCCCGCTGGACCACCTCGACGCCTCGTGAATCATCCCCGAAGAAATAACGCTAGTATCCCTGGACGCTTTCCTGGACCCGTGCGAAAATCTTGTCGGAAGCTGGGCGTTCCCCCGCCTCCCCCCGTTTGTACATTTCCCTCAGAGCCTCGGATCCTCCTCTTTCTCTCACGCCTTTCTTCGCGCGATATTCCCGGTTCACGGAAACATTCCGGGGGGAGGGCCTCAATCCCGTTTCCGTTTAACGAGAAGGGGATCTCCGGGACCCGGGGCGCGTCGTCCCTTATGAAGGCGCGGTACCACCGTGCGCCGCAAGTGGCTGATTTGCATGGAAAACTTTTCGCGAGGAACAGGCAAACGGGGATGAAAAAGTAAAAGGGGGTGGCGGGGTCCACGGAGGGGGGGGGGGGAGGACGGCCGGCTCGTACTTTTAATAGTCAAGTAACCCCCGCGGCGAACAAAGTGAGCGCAATATTAAAGTTCGCCGCGTTTTGCCGGGACGTCCCCCGACCGCCTCTCCTCCCGGGGGGGGAGGGAGTGGGAACGCGCCTTGATTCGATTCCCTGGGAATTCAAATAGGCCGGAAAATTAATAATTGCGAAACGGAGACAAAAGTAGACGGGTGGGATGGGGGGGGGTGGGGATGAAATAAGCGAGGAAGAAAATTCCGGCGAAGGGGCGAACGGAGGGTGGGGGAGGGGCGGCGGCCCTATCGCAAAAGGACTGCAATTTACATAAACAAATCAAATCTCATTCGGAAAGTTCCCGGGAAGCGGCGAACCCTGAAGCTCCCCCTCTGTCTCTCTCTCTCTCTGTGCCTCCCTTTTTCTTCTCTCTTCCTCCGGGCTGCCCTCTCTCTCTTTCTCTCTCCCTCTGGAGGGTTGAACTTCAACTTCACTGGGCGCTCTGCAAAGCCTCGGAGAAGTGGCCAGAGACCCGAGAATAAACTTGAGACCTGCTACGGAATCCTATGTAACTAGGAAGTGCCTAGCCTCGAGGCGGAGGAACAAAGAGATTTTCAAAGGGGTGGAAAGAGGGGGTGGGAGGGGAGGGGAGGGGGTCGAATTCCGCCCAGGTCGAGTCAGCACTTCGAGCGTTTTAACATTTTCGAGTAACCGGGGTTCGAAATCGTTTCCTGGAGGAAATGGATCCTCCCTTAAATTTAAGGCCCCCGTTTTCACGGTTTCTCGATTCGCCCTATTTACGTGCGCGAATCCTACGTCCGAGGGGTGGTTTTAGGGAAACTTCTTATTAGGGAAGAAACTTCGTGGCTTGAGTTGGAGGCTTGCGTTAACTCGAAAGAAAGGGGCTGGGAAATAAGGGCTGAGGGATTAGGGAGGCTCGGACGTGTTTTCGAGAATCCAAGTTTCCACCCCCACCCCACCCCCGCGACGCCCCTCGCACCCAGATTACCCGCTTAACGCGGGAGATTTAACGCCGGCTTGATAAGTCATCGGGTACATCCCGAGTTTAGGGATTTCGGATTTGCATAAACGAGTGAAATCTAATCCGGAAAGTTCTCCCGGAAATGGGCCAGACCTCCCGATCCCTCCCTAGGGCTCAACTTCAAGTTCGCCTCGAGCCCTGAAAAGCCCGGATGCGGCTCGGGAGACGAGCGTCGTCTGCGAACTTTAATTAAACGCTGTTTATTATTTCCCGATGAGGAAGGGGGGGGGGAGGGATTTTTCCATTACCGCGAAAAGGGTCTAATGATTTACTGAAGGCTCTCACGTGGTGGAACCACCCCTGGGAAAGGGAAAGAGGGGGAATCAAGAGACCGCGAAATCGGAAGTGCCTAGGGGAGCGGCCGCGGTTTCTTGGACGCACGTAAAGCCTCGTTATTCAATGCCGAGGAATGACGGGCAGAAGTAAGTGGAAAGTAAAAAGGCAAAGTTTCCGAAGGGGGAGGGGAGAGGAGGAGGGGATTGAAGAAGCTCGAGGATTACCGTCCATTCGCTTGGATTCCGTAAGAAGCTGAAAACAAATCCTATTACCGCAAGAACTTTCCGGAGCACCGCCATTTTGGTACCGGCGATTCTTGCGCACGGTTGCTCGACGAATGTAAATAAAATTCGGAAAAGCCGGCTAGAGGGAGGGAGGAACGGGGGGTAAATAAAGGGGACAAAGGGGGGCAGGGTCGTTAAGGAGCCTGGCTTTTCCTTTCTCGGGGCTGCTCCTGAGACGAGCTGCAGCGACTTTGAGGAAACCGAGCACGACTAATTGCATAGCTACACAAAAGAATATTTCCCCCCGAGAAAATGTCAACTTCTCGAAGGGCAACCCACTGCATCGGGGCCAGGTTGGGAAACGCGGCTTGGGACATTGTCGGGACCAGGGAGGGGGTGGAGGAAAATGAAAGGGGGAAAAAAATGAGTCCGACTTTTCGCGACCCTGGGGTAAAGGGTGAATGGGTCACCCCGGTGGCCAGCAGGGCCTGAAGAGTCGGTCGGAAACACGAAAGCCTTGTAATTTTGGGGAATTTGGAACGTGGAGGGAACAGCGTTCGATGGAGAGTTAAGCCGCCTGCGACCCGGACCTATTTTTAGGGCGACAAAGGTTACCCCGAAGAGAGTCGGGGTGACACGAGGAGGCCTTAAAAACACGGGACCGTCCCTCCCACCCGGGGATTAAAAAGTCCCTCAGGGTTTCGCTCGTCTCGGGAAAAAACGGAATATCCGGTCGGCCGACTCGATACGTCGCTGTCCAGGAAGTGGCGACTACCTCGGAGAGAGCGACTTCACCCGGGAGGAAAGTAAAATCGGTTCAGGGGGGGTGCAGGCGGCGACCGAGCAAACGTTTGCCCCCGATCGATCGGCCGAGTAATGAGATTCATCCACCAGGGGTGGCCGCTCGATAATTGGCCGCAACCCCTCGGCGGGATCGACGGTCAACCCTTTACCGGGGTCCCGGCCTGTAAACCTCTTCCACTCGTTACGAAGGGACGAGAAAAGGCAACCGAACGCTAATGCGACACTTGCCTGTCTTATCGACAGCCGATAAGTCGACGCTCCTCTGCAGATTTGCATAACGCCAGGTCGACGTCGCCGGGATGAACGCTGCACTCCGGAGAGTACCCTGAAGAACACCCTGAAGAGACCATCGCGCTGTTTAACGTTCCAAAACTTACTCGAGGTAAAAGTCCACCTAGGAGTCCTCCAACCGGCGAGAGAGAAATTTTCACCTGGGAGTGGATGCTGAAGAGGCTCCGCAGAAATAAATAATTCCGGGTTAGAAGTTATCCTGGGATTGTTCCAGGACGCATTTACAGGATGTAAATCACGCTTACGAGATTACCTATCGGGGACCGGAATCGGGTTTCGCGAGTCGGCGGCTCAGCTCCTTGAAGACGGGCCCGAAGACCCTCCTCGGGGTCGGTCGATCACCCGGGTAACGAGCGTCGTAACTGCGATTATTGCATTCCCCGCACTGTGTAACTCCGACACCTACCGGGCTTTCTTGTCACGAGGGCGAGTTTTCCGACACCCCAGGGCGACTGAACTAGTCCTCTCCTTGCGATAGACACCCTCCAAGTACCACCCCCCGAAAAATCAGCTGATTCTTCGGCATCTTCAGCATCCTTATTATCTTCGGCATTTTCTTCGTCTTCTTCAGCCATTCGATTTAATTTTCTCGACCGTAGCGCAACGGGGCGTAAGTGGGTCTGGTAATTGCAGACTTTTTACCAATTACCCTTCTTGGTCATAATTGTCCCAGCATAATTAATAATCCCCGGCAGGGGGTGAGGGATGGAAAAAGCCCCGCTTGAAAATAACGCCATTGGGGTGTTTTTTCCATGGAAATGTCGAGGGAACACACTTTTCAAGCCGCGGTACACCCCCGGTCGATTCGTTCCCGCGCCGGGGGTTGTTTCACCCCCCCGAGAAAAAGCCCTCTGCAGATCCGAGTCGATACACTCGCCCAGAAGAGCAGGCTCGAATATGTGCGCCGGCGGATTCGTCAATTTATTTCCAATAGTCCTTTTCTATTTATTTCCGCGAAATGGATCGACGGACCGGTGCAGGGCGAGGGGGTGCAGAGACAAAAACGGCCCTCCACCCTTGTCGGAGCCTTTCTCTATACGGGTGATAGTGTCTATGCACATGAGGGTGTACGTGTGCCGGGAATTAGCGCACCTACTGGAGCGATTACAGCCCCGGTTTATTCTCGATGACTCGGTTTAATGGATTTTTGGTAAAACTGATCGAGAAACGTGGAAAGCCGCGAAGGGATGAAGAGCGTAATGCCCGGACATTGCGTGTACGGGGGTGGTACACCGAGGAATTCTCGCTCGAAAAGACCGGTCCTCTTCAATTTTACTACGTTATTATTTTATCTCTCCAGATATTTCACAAACATTTATCACGTCCATTGATTTAATCTCCTCTTTTACCGACGAGATTCGCTTGGCTGGGCAAATCAATGCAAATTACGGAAAAATTGGATGCAAAAGTTGAAGACGGATGAAATTAAAATTATACGGAGATGAGATAAAACTTCGCCCGATTAGCCGCGGGGGTGGATTATCGAAATTATCGAAAAGTAACTAATTTAACCCCCGGGCATCCGTCGCTCCCCGATCTACGAGTCCTGCTCGAGTTTTAATCGTCTTAAGGGAAGGCGAGTTGCTCCTGACGGCGCCCTGAATTTATCGTCGGCAATAAATTGATGGCCGTCGTGCTCTCCGCTTCTCGGCTGGCAGTAGCCGGGATAAAAAGAGCAGGCCGGAAAAGACCTCTATACGTACACAGGTGGATTTAAAAAAAAAAACGATTTCTAAAGCCCTTTGGTTTTTCATTTGCAGAACCGGCGGCGGAAGCATGTTGGGTGATGTCAACATCTCGGCGATCCTGGACTCCTTCTCCATCAGTTACGATAAAAGAGTAAGGCCGAACTACGGAGGTGAGTACCGAGTTTCCCCTAGAAGAATTCCCCTAGCGGCTAGAAATCACCCCGCCTACTCGATCGGGACTTAGATACTCTCCCCTTACTACAGAGAAATCTGCAATAATCGATAACCTTGTGAAAAGAAAGAATAATTATTAAAAAAAAGAGAGAAAGAAACCGATACCTTCAAAGGCTAGAGAGGGGTAAAGAATCGCAAGGAGTCAATTAATTTTCACTTTTCGAGAAGCCATTTATTATCTCAATTGCCAAATTGTAGTAACTATTAGTACCCAGGAACGTGAGAAATGATTTTCATTATTCCTGAATTTTATTACCGACTTTATGATTTCATTTCTCGAGGTGTTCATCTTTTCAGTTTGGACCTCCGATAAATTGAGGACAATTTGGAGGAAGTCACGGGAGTCGGTTGAAGTTTTCCTCAACGAGAGAGGGATCTTTCGGGGTTTCCTTTCCAGGGAGGGGAAAAGTCGGAAAGGGGAAGTTTTCAGTCGACTCGGCGACGCGCAGGGATCTGCTTTGCCGACGGCGATCGATCAGCGAAGCGTCGATACGCGGAAAATTGATTGGGCCCTCATAAAGCCCGTGCTTGCAATATCTTTCGCCACGTTCCATCGGAAATACTTTCGCCCGGTTCTTACAGGAGAATTCCGTAATATTCGTTACTTCGTCCTCTATATCCAGGCCGGGAGAGAAGGACTCCTCGCCCCCCTTCCTCAGCCTCTCGGTCCTCGTCTCAATGAATCGATTGTTGCGACAAAGAGCGAAAGGAAAGGAGGAAAAGGCTGCGAAATGGGAGTACTCCTTGATGACGCCGTCCCTGGGGCTTCTTGGGGATAAAATCTTCTATGAATCCTGGAAAAATCGCTGCCACTTCTCCCACCTCCTTACAAATCGCCGGGAGACAAGGAAATCCTTCCAGGCACTGCAACGACTCGAAATTAAAATGGATAACTACCTTTCATCATTTTTCAAATTTAACATCAAGTCTGAAATGTTGGTCCGTGCGCGAAGTAGTGCACATGGACGTGGTCAGGCATTAACGATTCTCCTTGGGATGCTTCTTTTAATTAAAATATTAATCTATAGGTTTTCATTAAAGGGAATCCTTCCAGGCACTGCAACAGTCCGAAATTAAAGTGGAGAGCTACCTTTCATAATTTAATAAATTTAACATCAAGTCTGAAATTCTTGGTCCATGGCGAAGTAGTGCACGTGGACGTGGTCAGACATTAACGATTCCTTTTGGGGTGCCCTCTTTTAAGTATAACATCATCTCGTCCATCGCATGGAAATGATTGTCTCTCATATTGCATCAGTTGAAGAGGGGAGTTTGCAGTTCCCAGTCCGAAATTAGCAAGGGCAGCACTAAATTCAATTGCAATCGGGTCCCGGGGGTATCTCCGTGCAATAGGAATTCCGGCTGCACTCGGCGACCCATCTCGCATATTTTGGAACCTATAACTTCCAAAACTCGTGGAGCGGAGTGGTCCGGCCGAGGAATTAGAGTCGCATAATCTAATAAGTGAAAATGAAATGCCACAGGACATGACCAGGGTCATGGGAACCGCGAGTTCTGGTTCGGTGCACGGTGCATCTCTAATCCCTCCCGGGTGTCGTAAAACTCATTCGGGACTGATAAGGACTGGTCCCTGATACCGGCGGCGAAACACGCGAGATTTTCGGGACTCCTGGTCCGGGGCGGGGCTGGCTTCGGTAAAACTCGGATCGATGTTGGGACGCCGGTTGCCACGGGTTACCATTAACGGCATCCCTGGTTCTGGTCCAACCCTACAGCATCCCGACTTCGGGGTTTAGCCCTCGGAGGGTGCCGGACTCATTTTCGTTTTCGCCCCCGAAACAAGTTCCAAAGCGGACCGGGTGCACCTGACGCCCCCCGGCAAGAACTGCAACTGCCCTACCTCGCTGCAGCCCGATCAGCTGATGACCTTGAAATGAAAAATCAGTAATTTCCCCATAAATCGGCCCAAAAACCAGGCAGATCAAAAATCCCCTAAAACATCCTCACACGAGTAACTGGTAATTTTCACGAATTTTAAATCCCAAGATATATGCACGGGATTCTTTTTAAATTTTTTTTTTTTATATTTTCTTTTACCGAGGGATTGTAGTCGGCAGATGTTTAATAAGACGCCCCCCAGCAAGAACTGCAACTGCCCTACCTCGCTGCAGCCCGATCAGCTGATGACCTTGAAATGAAAAGCCAGTAATTTCCCCATAAATCGGCCCAAAAACCAGGCAGACCAAAAATCCCCTAATACATCCTCATACGAGTAACTGGTAATTTTCACGAATTTCAAATCCCAAGGATATATGCACGGGATTCTTTTTAAATTCTTTTTAAAATTTTTTTCTTTTACCGGGGGATTGCAGTCGGCAGATGTTTAATAAGACTTCGGGCTCGTCGAATTAAATGTCGCGCGACATGAAAGCGCCATGTTCGGGCACGCGACATGCGGCGAACGCATGTTCCAGGGGAGTAGAAAGGGGGAAGGGTAAACGGCGAACGAAACGGAGAAACGGGGGCTGGGATGGAGGGAACGGGTCTCGCAAGCCCGATAAAGTTGAGCCATAAACCACATTCAACCAACGCGCTCTGTGGCACCGCCGGTCGAGCGATGTATCTCCATTTCCGGTGGGCTAGGATGTGTTTTAACCTATAGGTGACGAGCGGTGCGCGCGGGAGCTCGTATATCACAATTCTATTCCATTTCCAAGACCGCATTGTGCCGAATTGTTGCATCGCCTGCCCTTAATTAATATATCGCGGCCCCCCAACGGCGGGCCACGTGGCGCTTCGGCCGCCATTTGCAAAAGACGTTCCGAGAAGACTCCCAGTCATCGAAAATCCGGACAGAATTTCCCGTCGCTCCCTGCCTCTCCTGAAACATCTACAAAATAAAGAGATCTATCTAAGTGAAACGAAATGTACAATATTTCGAAAAAAGGGACCAGCATTTCAGACATCTACGAGGAAATTGGAGCAAAGAGTCGCGGCGTCCGTTTTGCCGCGCCTGAAGGAGGGCGACGGTAATTCCGAGGAAAATCGGCAAGAAAAGGGAGAAAAAAGAAATGGAGAAAAGCGGCGAAACGCACCCTTGCGCGGCAAATAAAGAGGTTAACCGTCGGTCGCAATCGCGACGGGGTGAAATGCAAGCACGGCGGGCGTGTGACGCTGTTTTTCTTTTTTTTCCTTTATATTTCTTTTATTTTTTCCCTCCGTCCTCTGCGTATCTCCATCTGCTCGTTACGAGTGCACACCTTTCTAGCGTAATATCTACGGGCCAGTAAAATATATACATATATATACAGGGTCGGAAAAGGGACGGGAGCGTCGGTAAGGAAACTCACGGCACTAACTCGGAGTTTTCCTACGGCGCGAAAAAGAGCCGGGACCTCGCGGCCATTTTATGTTCGCTTCCGGTGTTCTATACGGCCCGGCCTAACCTATTTTAAAACGTTCCCTCATTGCCTCGGCGGCCATTTTGCCCGATTACCCCCCGGGTCGCTTATCCCCGTGCTTCGGCACGAAGTTCGATACTTCGCCCGGCAAAATGGCGATCTGCGCGTAACATCTTAATGCCCGGCCCTATATAGACGAGCTCGACGAGCAGACTGTTAAAAAACGCCGATGATAAAGGGGCTTGATCGCGACCCCCCGCGAAGAGCCGACTGAAAGCTTCCAACGATGCGCACTGCGAGGCCGATTAACTGCTCGATAAGGGGAAATTATTGCGGATACTCGACCGGGGATGATTGTTATTTAATGCGCGACATATATATGTATGTATATATTACCCCGTCCACCCTCCTGTGCATTCGTCGAATTTAAATGCCCCGGAGGACGTTTTTACTCCCGCTCTGAAATTATGCGATCGCCCTCCAAGACGCCTCTAGATCCATCTGGATTGTTATTCACTTTTATTCTTGTTTTACGAGCCCGGGTTAATGCAAACCTCCGTACGCTTTACAACACACTCCCTCTCGGGGAGTTACGACACTGAGATTTAAATTAACTCGCTACGCGATGGTTTTCATCGGATTATGATTTTGGACAAACAGGGGAGGGAGAATCACGCCTGGAAAGGTTCGACTTTCGGTAAAAGCATACCGGGGAGGTGTTTAACGAATTGTCACGCCCTTGGGTATATTTAATATAATTTTTGTTCATTTATGTCGCGAGACTCAACCGTAGTGATTCTTTATTGAGGCAGCCTTAACAGTTATTGGAAATCGTTCGGCACTTTATTTATATTACTTTCCTTGCCAGCTATGATTCATCCGATCCTTTCTCTACCTTTCTAGCCCTCGGCCCTTGAGGCCGACTCAGTGACATAACCTTAATTTCAGGTCCTCCCGTCGAGGTGGGCGTCACCATGTACGTCTTGAGTATCAGCTCGCTATCCGAAGTCAAAATGGTACTACCCTAGGTCTAATCAAGTCATTGACAATCGCTGAATCAGCTCGATCATTCCGAAATATACAGTACCCTGATCCAAAGCAACCATTTAGCAGCCCGACATATATATATATATAAATATATACAAGCGATCAGCCGCCATCTTGTTACACACGCTCCATCTCCCTTAGAGAAGGTTCACGGCTACAGGCTCTTTCTAACACGACAAAAGTTAAATTAACACAAGTCTACATGCACAAACGACCACTTAGAACCTTTTTGCATAAAATTCCCTGTATTTCCGGGTATATTTGAATTTATTTCCCAGGAAGTTCGAAAGAATTCGCGCGACGGCAGCGGCCATTTTTCTTTCTCGCGTTTCCCGCCCGGCCGGATAGTTAGCCGGATGCGTGAACATCGGCTGGTGAATTGGCGTTATTAACAAAATCCCTCCTCGTTGAAAGCATAATTTTCGGTACATTGGGGGTGTCGGTAACGCGCGTTTTAATAATTAACGTAGCATTTCACGGGATGCTATTCAGCCAGGGGATGAGAGGAAGACCTCGCGCGTTAATTATCGTTGCGCGGGACCTTTGAAAAAGGGCGACGTAACGTCCCCTGTAAGGCGCTCTCGCTAATGGTCATTATACGTTTAACTTCCCCTCAGGAGGGAAGAGGGTGTCCGCCGTAAAAATACATCCCGACAAAGGTTCCGCCAGGATTTCACCCCCGGCGAGAATTAATCGCCCAGCAGAGGGACAAAGAAGTCCGACGCGAAGTCGATGTTAATGCATCGCTTATTCCGGGAAGCAACTCGGCCCTCGGTCGAGCGAGAAATTGCCCTAATAACGGCCACTCAATATTCCCATTATAAAATGAAAACAGAATCGAGGAAGGATTCTCCTCCGAGGAGGGATCGGACGGTCTCTGATAAAGGTTATCCTTGGGTGAAAATCCCGGCCGGAGATTTTCCTCCCTTCCTCCAGGAGAGAGCGCGAGGCCATTCTTTATTTTCATCCGATCTAGAAAATTATTTCTATCGTTGCCGAGATAAATCTCAAATCTTTAACGGTTTGACTTCTCATCGAAAGGGTAAATTCCCAAGTTAAGCGAAGAGCCTGTAGCCAGAAACCTGGAACTAAAGTGTACCCTTTTCCGAGGCCCCCACCCCCTGCGGCGAGCCGCCATGCTCGCGGAATTTCGAGGCGCGGATTTTGGAAATTTCTCTCATTACGGTCATTTAGACGATCCGGAAGGATCGAGACTGTGTATCCCATGGAGATCTAGGATCAAGGATCTAATTGGCTTCATCACGCGACCCTCGGGTCCTCGCGCGCGCCTCGAAAGACACTTCCGGTGAGGTTGCTCTGTCTGTGGTGCGTTATTAGAGAGTGTTAGAAGAGTGTGTGGTTAGCCAGCGGCATGCACTCACTACGATATAAGCTCGAATTAAACTCCCATTGCCGTGCCATGCGACCGGAGAACCGCATCGCGCCGTAAGTCGTACCTCGTGGAATGCACTGAAAGAGGAAAGAAAATTTCTGCCGCTGAAAATGAACTAACCATCCTAAAACAAAGTATACTTATCCAGTAAATAATCCCGGACGAAGGGAACAATTAATTAGAATTATTTGGGATGGGAGAAATTAAATTACTTCCTGTGTCTGATCATCGATCGCCTTATTCCCTGAACGCCGATTCCACACAGTGAAGTGCAAAGTGATTCAAGGTGAGTATGGTCAGACGCGGGTGAGGAGAAACGTCAGTATCAATTCACATGGCACCCTAATAGTGGTATATGCACCCTAAGCTGTAAATTTCATTACTGACAATGAAATTCCATTACGTATAAAATTCCAAACAAGGAAAAGAAATGAGAAATACAATGAAATAATCGAAATAAATCGTTGGAAAATGGTGTATCTCCGAAGAAATATAGATATCGTCGCACTGTCTCTTTCATTGTACATCACAGAAGTCGACCTACGCGTAATGCGATTTCAGCGCCCATTGATCATTCCCTCGGGGTCACCGACGGTACCACAAAACATTTCAATCCCTCATGATCAATCTACTCTCCTCTTAGGCGACGGTAGAGGCGCAAGCACATCCTACTTATTCCGATTAATGTGACTAAAAGGGGAGATTTTGACCGAAGTGCCTGCGCCTATGCGCAAGTTCGGAGTTTCCAGGTGGAGGGGGGTTGGCTGGCCAATCCCTGTCCACCCGATCGAGGCGCAGGCACGGAGGGGCTTAGTCAAATGTGATTTAATAGTTTTAATTGGTAAAACATCGATGCTTGGGTCGAACCGTCTCAAAAGAGCCTTCCACCACCACCGAGCAAAGTGCGAGCGCGTTGGAAACCAGTCCTAACATTAGCTAGTTAGCTCTGCTATGCCGCGGCTGCTAAGACGATCACATGAAGTATATATATATATATATCCGCTGCCTTGTCCCTGCCGACGAGCAGCCTCTCTCACACACTCTGTCTCTCTTTCTCTCTCTGCCAAACTTCTGCCACGTCTCGAAACTCGTCTCTCCAAACCCCCCCTGAAGACCCCGCCCAAAAGCGGAGGAGCCCGAATAAAGAAAAGAGAAAAAGATTGGGCTCGGGGCGAAGAGCGAGGACTGAAATTCCTGCGGAAACCGCGGACGTGGTCCGTCCCGCGAAATTGGACTAGCGATTAAGGCCTCAACGCGGCTCTTCATCAACCCCATCAGGCTCATCCACGGCGAAGCGCGACGTCGAGACGAGTCCTGTTGATTTGGTTCCGTGCAGGGTGCGGGCTCACTTCGATCTCCGATTTCGTTGGTTCTCCTGTTCGCCTCTAGTTGGTCGGGACCTCCGTCTAGGGATGCCTCAGGGCTGCTAGGGACTTTCGGATCGCGGTGCCCCGCGGTCCCACCAGGCCGAGAAGCTAAGGACGCCCCTCGATCTCGACCTCGAGATCGAACTTCTTTTTCAGCCACTACCAGGGGGATCCGCCCTTTTCTTGATTACAGGTCCGCCCGTGGAGGTCGGCGTCACCATGTATGTCCTCAGCATCAGCTCCGTGTCCGAGGTGTTGATGGTACAGTGGCTTATTCATTGAGATCACTCGTTCGACGCCCCCGCGCCTCCACATTAGACCCCGTCGAAGCTCGACACGAACCGCTCCTTTTCTCCTTTAGAAACCGAGCCCGTCGTCCTTCTTCCTTCCCGCTCATCCATCTTCGTAGAGTCTATCATCAGCGCTCGTTTCCCGATGCATGCGAGCGAACGCAGAGGGCTTTAATCTCGGCTATCTGAAATTTTGCGCAGGCGAGACTTTTGCCGGCATCTTGTTGCCCGGTCCCTTTGCCTGCGGGATTATCCGCCGACTTTTCCTTCGGCAGAGCTTCCGATTTCTGTCGGAAGCTCGTGTCGCTTGGTCCAGAATTTTTTCTCAAAGAGGTTTTCCCGTTTTTATCCGGGATTTTCGGTCCGCGAACCCGAGGATCACCGGAAGGTCCTTTCGAGCTGAGTTTCCGCCATTTTCGCGGGATGCTCGGAGGCCGAAGGCAGAGTCGACGCTCATTTGGAGCCCTGCCAGCGATCGGAATTATTTCTCGACGAAGTGACGGAGGTTTCGCCCTCGAAGACCAATCCGATTGGCTTTCGATCGGAATCACTCGAGACGAGAGCTCCGCGGCTTCCCGGCGGAGCTGACGGGAAGCTTTTCGGAATTTATGCCAATTTTTCCATAAAGTCGATTTGGCTCATCCTCTTCCGAGGGCTCTCGAGCGTGACTCGAATGTCGATCTTACCCCGCTAGTTTGCCCTCTTCACTTTTGGCACCGCTTTGTGTACCGACGAAATATTCGACCGAGGCCGGATAACTCGGGAAGTCGATCCACTTCGAGAAGCTCCTCGGCATTAACGAGTCCGCTTTGGAAGGAAAAATTCCCAGGAACCGGGACGCTTTTCGAATTTCTTCCCGAGGCCCTCCACCACCCTCTGCGTTCGCACATGCCAGGGAATCGATCCTGGAAGCGCCCCCTCACCCCCACATCTACACAAAGGACACCGATCCCGTTTGGAAAAAGCTCCCAGGACCTCCGAGGCGAGCCGGGCGAGGCGGCGGAAAAAATCATTTTTAAATCCCGCCGCGACTCCACCTTCTACTGGGGTGCTCCAGATACCGCCCCGAGAGTGTCGCGGGTTATTAATATTTATTTCCCCGAAGGACCTCGCAGGAGAGGCCCGGCTCGCCTCGAGCCTCACCGTCCGTATCGCCTGTATGTTGGCAGTACAAAAGCAACGAATCGGGATACACTGTCGGCCTACTAACTATGTTTTTAGCTCGTCACAGCTGTTTGGTTGGCTGAACTGTCACAAGGGAACCTTGCTACGTTCCGCAGTCTTCGCAAGATCTTGTCTTCTACTCATTTACTATTAACTGTTACTTGCCACCGTCGTCATCGTGATCACTGTTATACCATTTATATCCGTCATCGTCATTAATGGTTGATTCGTCCGACGATTGTGATGTTGCCGTTGCATGGCCCCAACCGGCAAAGCTCAACCCGAATTCGCCTGAAAGGGGCGAAATAACAAACGTGGAGGAAAAAAAGGAGAGGGATAAAAATGGCAAAGGAGGCCTCCCGGCCCCTCGGCCGAAAGACCGCAAATACAGGAAAAGCTCGCCGAACGGGAGAACCGGGAATAAATAAGCGAGGCCGCGTCCGCTTGTCTCCGATTCATTTAATTTTCCCTACGTGTTTACCAACGGGGAAATACTTCCCGCGGGAAAAGTCCTGAAGAGTCCTTCGGTGTCGACTCTTCGAGCGGCGGAACCCGAAGAGGACGTTTGATATTTTCTTCCGCGGGCTTTAATATGCATCTCTCTCCCGTTACACCGCTCATCAGTATTCGGGACTTTATTACTTCCCTGTGAGGAGGCGAATATTAATATTCCGCGGCCCCGGTCGAGGGCCCGAATTAACATTTTAATTATTAACAGTCAATGACGCCGACAGGGTCGAACGCGCCATCTTGTCCCTCCCGCTCTTCCGGGTCACGAAAATCCTCGGCACTCCACCTTTCGTTTCGGCTCAACGTGGGGCGGCTTTTAAATCGTCCGAGATGGAGAGCGAGGTCCCCGTCTTCTCGATAAAGCTCCCGGGGGATCCCGAGGGACGCATTGTGAGCTTTCGCGGTGTTTAGGTCACGTTTCCCTGTTAAATTGGCCTTCGACGGCCCCGAAGGGGAAGGGCGATCGGGGACCCTCGAGGAGGATCCTTCGGGATCGAATCGGAGAATCGAGTTGTCGAGCTTTAAGCTCGTCAATCATCGGCAGCCGGCTCGGGACGGGTGCGTTTATTTTCCAACCGGGGCGCAACAACCTCGTTCTTCTCTTATTCTCGAGCCGGGATCGATATTTACCGCAAATGCGTTCGTCGATATTTGCCACGGGTCGCGCATCGTTTTCCAGAAGCTCGCCACCCCCGACTGCCCCCGATCGATAAAGCTCCTTGAAGCTTCCGCTACTCGGTCCGCGAAATGGCGAACTTTGTGCGATCGGAATAGCTTCGAATAAAGGGAGTGTCCTCCCCCCTCGTCCCAGAATTCCAGGGGAGGATCCTTTTGCTTTTTCCCAACACCCAGCCGAAAGCTCGCCCAGGGGAAGCTTAATTAACGCCCCTCGAAATTCCGGGCAAAAACCGAAAATTGGACGGGATTTTTTTTTCTCTCTCTCTCTCTCTCTGTACATTTTATTACGGTTGTAATATAGGGCGGTTTATGAGAGTTGGGGTTAATTCCCCTCGCGAAGGGGGCGGCGAGCTTTTTGAGCTTTTCGAGGGTCCAGGAAAAAATCCAGAGGAAATAGGCCCTGCCTTCCGGGCACAAAAGGAATGGGTTAAAGGCGAAGCTGGACGCGCGTAAACTCGACCGATCCTCGCGATGCAATTCCCTTAATGCAGTGCCTCCTTAAGGGAAGCTCTATATAATTCTCTTTACTGCAGTTCCGCAGCGGCCTCCGCGTTTCCGAAGTTCGCCGGCTCCGAAATCGCGTCTCTTTCTCTGCCTCCCCTTTCTTTTGGCTTCTGCCACCCTCCCGTCTCCTTTCCCGCGCGGAAGAAAATTGCTTTTCCTGTAGCGGCGACTTCCTCCTCGAAGTTTCGAGCGATCGCTTCCCTCGGCGGCTGTTCCGAGGAATTAAAAGAAAACAGAGGCGCCCCTCGGGTAAGCGGACTACGGGTCGAGCTTTGCAGGCCAGGAGAGAAGTATACGGATATGTACATACACATGGGACGATTTATCCGCACGCGGAAGCAAGGGGGTGCGTTCGTTGCACGCACCTCCGCGAGTCCCGCCCCTCCCATGTGTATGCAGATACACGTGGGTACATATTTATATTTAAGGTATAGCAAGGTATATATATGAAATAATGTATATATATATATATACTCTGTATATTATATTCCCGTAGTAGTTCAACCATCGCTCCGGTTTGTACATTTAGACTCAAATGGGGTGCCCCGCCGGGCGCACCGATCATTCCCCCCGAAGCTTGGTTCGCGGGGGGTAAAATGCCCCCCGGACGTTTCTTCACCCTGGCACCGGGATTTGAGGCTGAATGTACCAGGCTGGACCCCAGGTGTTGAGCCCTGTGCGGAAACCAAATCAAGTTGACACTGTCACCTGGAACGTGACTCGCGATTCAACCCCGTTTTCCTGCCCGCCACAATTTTCCCGACCCTGCCGGCACCCTCGGGACGGCAAGGGCTCGTCCTGGGAAATTCAATGCAATTTCCCAGGAAATTTCCCTGCCCATGAGCCGAGCGAAAATCGCCGGTCAAAGCGACCTGGCCGGCCTCCGAGCCGGCCACCGATCCGCGATACCGCGGTCAATGCTGAATTCAATCTCCCGCCCAAACCGGAGGCGCTGGAAGAAAATACCCCGGACAAAAGTTGTTCCTCCCTTCGTTTTAAGCAACTTTCGTATCGGACGTTTTTCCACCCTGTGCACCGGTTCGCCGGGAGATCTGCATTCGCCGCGGCCGGTAAAAGGCGCGCCACTTGACTCGCAATGAATCTCCGTTTATCCAAAGACCGAGTCGAGGTGAGCCACTTCGCTTCCGGTCCACCGGACACGTATTAGCGTTAAAAAATTGTGCATAGGTGAAAGAGCCTCATTTACTTCAGGTGGATCTCCTCCAGCGATCGGGTAATTTCTTCATGTAATTAAATCCCCCGGAAAACCCACGGGATTTTGAGCGTTACGTGTCAGTGGGTCCCGTTCCGCATTTCGGTTGCGCTCTCGAGGGTCTTGCATTTCCGCGGGAACGCTTTTTGATCGTCGAAAATTCCCGCCAACCCGGGCAGGGATTCCCGGTCGATCAAAGGACCCGCGCAAAAAACTGGCCCGAAACGAGAAATTAGAATTCACGGCCTCTGAAAAGCGGATCGAGCGGGGGGGGCGAACTTTGATCCGGTGATTTTCTGGCACGGCGTGTGGGGGAAAAAGAGTTCCTAGACGTCCCAGATCCTTTATCCTGCTAGAACTCTATTTCACGCATCAGCCCACACCCTCTACCCACACGAGGAAAACCAAAGAGATTCGAAATACAATCTCGCGGAAAGATACGACAAAAGACAAACCAGGAGGACCCACACCAAGTTGCGGCATAGTGCCAATTCGACGTCTCCCCTTCCATATATATATACGGATAAACATACGGATATATAAATATCTGTATACTTTGTATACATGAATACACCATTGTCAGTGTGTGCAGTGCGCTTCTGGTCGCTGCCACGTCTCGTGTGCGTGCGTGCGTGTGTGTGTGTCTCGCTTTTACGAACGACACGTCGCGGGTGCAACTTTCGGCCTGAGGGAACCATTGCGGAATAAACCGAGAAACTCGATCGGGAAAAATTCCAGATCTTCCTGAGACCCCTGAGAAACCTTTGAAAGTCACATTGAAGCACATTGAATGATTTAAATGGTTAAAAAGTAATTCATTTGTAGGAATTATTAAGTCCAGCGCGCGAGACCGACCACGCGTTGAAGTCTCCGAGATTCGGGGGGTCGGCGAAGTTCTCGCG